CTATATTTGTTGCAGCATTATTTACCACAGCTAAGATATGGAACCAACCCAGATGCCCTTCAGTAGATGAATGGATCAAGAAAATGTGATACACACACAGACACACAGACACAGACACAGACACACACACACACACACACACACACACACACACTCCATCAGAAAGAATGACATTGCCCTATTTGTTAGGAAATGGAAAGACTTGGAAAAAATTATATTAAGTGAAGTAAGCCAGGCCCAAAGAAAGAGGTCTTATGGTTTCCCTTATTTGCAATAACTAGTATATGTCTGGGCCAAGCAGAAAAGGTCAAAAGCTATGTACATATGACCAGATAAGATGATATTAAGCAAAATAAACCCCTATAGGGACACAAGTGGTTTTTTCTTTCTTGCTATTGTTCCTAATGTATTTATAATGTACCATGTGATTTTTTTTTTATTTTTGTATGTTCTTCCCCCATGGCATGACCCCTGTTTTCACTGTATTTGATGTCAGTGCCCTGCAGCTTATATATACACTTCTCTAGCTTGGGGAGGGGAAGGAAAAAAACAAAATGCTTAAATAGGGATACAGGTTGACCCATTGTAACAATGAGATGTACAAGATACTATGTTGAAAAATGAACTTTACAATTTAAGTGGGGAGGGGAGGTGAGGGGAGGAGGAGGGAGGAGGGAGGAGGGAAGGGATGCTAGGGGAAAACCAAGGGAGGAGATAACAATGCTTGATAGGAAATGTACTCATTACCTTGCTCCTGTAACTGTAACCCCTCTGTACAGTATTTTTTCTTTTTTTGCCAGTCATGGGGCCTGTACTCTGGGCCTGGGCACTGTCCCACAGCTCTTCAAAGCTAGCTCTCTACCACTTGAGCCACAGCGCCACATCCGGCTTTTTCTGCTTATGTGGTGCTGAGAAATCAAACCCAGGGCCTCATGCATGCAAGGTAAGCACTCTACCACTGAGCCACTTTCCCAGCCCTCTGTATGGTATTTTTACAATAAAAAAACGTATTTAAAAAAATGAATGGAACCCTGCAGTTTTCTCCTTAAGCACCAAATAGAGATTTACAGCATTACTGTCTATAAAGGAAGTGCAAAAACCAAAATGTTGCGTTTTGGTGATGGTTTTATCTCAATGTACCATAGTTTTCTGCAGCTAAGGCTCCTACACCTGGGCTGTGTATGTCTAGATGTCAGAACCATATTACAGTTCTGTGTCACAGCAGTCAGCAGGGTCTATTATTTCAAGTGAAGTTAACTTACTCTATTCTTACATCAGGGCTCTTGAAAACTTGTGTCTTAACAAACCTTCTGAACATTTTCCATACTGGCCAACTCAGCAAATCATAGGAACATTTCATGTACATGCCCCCAATTTCATGACTCAGAGGTCAACAGCTAAATTCTCACCAAGGTGTTTCATCTGGCAAAGGATACTGCAGGCCTGAGGCCACAGCGCTGGTGCGATAGCCTCCCAGGCGTTGCCCACTCTCAGAGCAGTGCCAGGCAAACTGCTTATCCTGTCCCGTGCTCAGCACCCACTCCAGCTCCAGGACAAAAAGGACCATCGTCACTCGGCTCTGATGCGCTAGAAACCAAGAGACAAAAAAATACAATGCATAATGATAATCCTAAGAAGACTTGGAAAGCATGGTCCTGAGAAGCATCACCCCTTTCCCCCCACCCTACCAAAGAGCTAACAATCATATGCTGTTAGGGCCAAGGCAGAACAGTAGTTCTTATCAGGGCAGGATTCCCTTGTAGACAGGCATGCCTGAGTTTTTGTTTTTGTTTTTGTTTTTGGGTCCAGTTGTGGGGCCTGAACTCTGGGCCTGGGCACTGTCCCTTAGCTCTTCAGCTCAAGGCTAGTGCTCTACCACTTGAGCCACAGCGCCACTTCCGGCTTTTTTCTTTTTGCTTATGTGGTGCTGAGGAATCAAACCCAGGGCCTCATGCATGCAAGGCAAGCCCTCTACCACTGAGCCACCTTCCCAGCCCTACTTTTTTTTTTTTTATAATGACCCATCTCTACCTGTTGCTCCACTCCTACTCCACTTGTGCTAACCCAAGAATCATTGTCTCAAAGAGCTTCAAATGACTTGGCCATGTTTCTCAACATATTAAGGTTGCTACCCAGTGTGATCATAAAACAGTCAGGAATGACATTTGTAATGTCTTGCCACTTTAAATGCACTTTTCATAAAATTAAAGCATGTACTGTTTCTGTTGTTGAAGAGTGTTTTGGAAACTCTTAATGAAATTACAAATGAACAACTTTCTGTTCAAATATATAGAAAAAAAGGCAGCATGATAAAAAGAGAATGAAATCTGTTATGCCAAAGACAAATATATGTGATAATGAAACCAGTTTGGGGGCTTGAACTCAGGGCCTAGATTTTTTTCATTCAAGGGTAGTGTTTTACCACTTGAGCCACAACTCTGCTTGCTGATTTTTGGTGGTAAATTGGAGATAAGAGTTTTATGGACTTTTTCCTGCTCAGGCTGGTTTTGAACTGCCATTCTCGATTATAGTCTCCTGAATAAGGATTCTGAATATTTATAACATGGATAAAAAGATCTTTAGGAGTCTGTCTATGAAATCATATTTTTAGTCAAAGACTACTTTTGACCTTTATGGTGGTTGGTTCTCTAGAAGGCAGATACAATGATAGAGAAGTCATAGTATTGCTGCTTCCATATTCCCTGAGGTTCTTTCTTTTTAAATATTAGATTTAAAACAAACAGGCATTTGTTGAATTGGCTATCCTGTGGGTACTCCTTTTGTTGTTTATTTGTCTGCTTTTTGAGGTAGGGTCTCACTACATAGCCCTGGATGGCTTTGAATTCACAATTATCCTGGCTCAGCCTCCCAAGTATTGACAATTCAGGTTTATACATCATGTCCAAATACTTCACCCCATCCTTATAGTTATAAAAATTATTATTATTATCATTATTATTGCATAGTTATATAAAGAGGTTTCAAATCCATAAATTATGAGTACAATGCATCTTGATCAGTCTCACCTCTTCCATCATTCTCCCCTACATTACTGCCATGTACATGAGCAGAAAAGTGTCTGTTGAGCACCTGTTCTCAGTGATGTAGACATCACTTAATGTTTCTTAATGTTGACCCAATAGTGCATTTCTGGGATAAAATTGACTTGATAATTTTTTAACATATTACTGGATTTGGTTAAATGAAGAATGGTAGACTACTTTTCTGTTCTTGTTATTATAGTTTTAGCATCAAGAAATACTGATTTCATAGAATGGGCTTGAAAGTCTTTCATTTCTCCAAAGATTTGGTTCATTATGAAATAATCTTCTTTATCCTTAGTAATCATCTTTGCTCAGAGATCTTCTTTGATATTAACAAAACTATCTAGCTTCATTTTAATTAGTGTCTTCTCATGACATATCTTCTTCCATTTTCTGAACTTATATCTTTAAACTTAAAGTCAGCTGTGAACATCTTATATTCTATTCTAAGATTGTAATTCAATCTGACAGTCTGCCTTTTAAATTGGCTTTAGATAATTTATTGCTATTGTCAATGTTATATTTAAAGCTATCATCTTTCTGTTTGTTTTCTATTTTTCATATTTTTCCTTGTCTTTTTTTCCTCTTGGAACTATTTTCTAATTCTATTTTATTGCCTTGGTTAGCTTATAAGCTGCAATTGTTACTTTAATGACTGTTCTAGGATTATTTGTAATTTCTTGTTAATTGTTACCTACTAGAGTCCTTCCTTAACATTTCATGTATATATAGCATAAAAACTGTGCAATGGGGCTGGGAAGGTGGCTCAGTGGTAGAGCCCTTGCCTCATACGCTTGAGGCCCTGGGTTTGATTCCTCAGCACCACATAAGCAGAAAAAAAAAGCCGGAAGTGGCGCTGTGGCTCAAGTGGTAGAGTGCTAGCCTTGAGCTGAAGAGCTGAGGGACAGTGCCTAGGCCCTGAGTTCAAGAACCAGGACTGGCAAAACAAACAAACAAAACAAAAACAAAAACCCTGTACAATGGTATATTTCTATTTCTCCTTACCTCCCGGCTTTTATGTTATTGTTCTCACATATTTTTACTTTTTCATATGATATGAACCCCATGGAACTTTGTCATTAATTTTACTTAAGTGCCTAATGTCCTTACCTAATGGTCTATCTAACAAGCAATCTTAAAGTTATTACTATTTAGGCATTTTTCATTCTTTTTAGTGGATGTTCATTTCCCTTTGATATCACTTTCTTCCTGAAGGGCTTCCTGTAACACTTCTTTCAGTGCATGTCCATTGTGATTAATTGTTCTAATTTTTATTTCTAAAAAAAATATTTCTTTCTTTTTTTTTTTTTTGTCGGTCGTGGGGCTTGAACTCTGGGCCTGAGCGCTGTCCCTCAGCTCTTCAGCTCAAGGCTAGCTCTCTACCACTTGAGCTATAGTGCCACTTCCAGTTTTCTGGTGGTTTATTGGAGATAAAGAGTTTCACAGACTTTCCTGCCCAGGCTGGCTTTGAACCACGATCCTCAGGTCTCAGCCTCCTGAGTAGCTAGGATTACAGGCATGAGCCACTGGCGCCTGGCAAAATATTTCCATTTTTGAGAGATTTTCTCAGGATACAGAATCTCAATCAATAAAAAGCTGGGCATGGTTGTATGTACTTATCATCCCAGCTATGTGAGAAGTAAAAATAAGAGCATCTTGTTCAAGGCCAGTCCAAGAATAAACTCAAACCCCTATTTGAAAAATAATTAAAGGAAAAAGAACTATTTGAAAAATAATTAAAGGAAAAAGAACTATAGCTCAGGGGGAAGCATGACTCAAGTAGTAGAATACCTGTAGCAACTATGAGGCCTTGAGTTCAAACCCAGTACTATCAAAAGAAATAAAATCTTCCTATTTTATTTGTTTGTCCCCTCCCCCTTTCTCCCTGTTTACCTTTCCTTTCTTTTTTCCCCCATTTTTTTCTTTTCCTTTTTTTTTTTTTTTGAAAGAAGATCTTACCTAGCCTAGGCTAGCTGCAAACCCTTGATCTTTGGGCCTTATGCTCCTGAGTACTAGCATAACAAATATTTACTACTACACCCAGCTTTTGGTTTGTTCAATTAGTTAAAATATGTTCTGGTCTCTTTCAGATTATTGATCATTTTCTGAGATCCTTTCTCTAATTTGTGATATATGCTATATATTTTCAAAACTCTTAAAATTATGTATTCATCTTAAGCAGTTTTTGTTTTTTGTTTTGTAGTGCTGGGATCAAATTTGGGACCTTGCATATACTAGATGAGTGTTCTACCATGGACCTATCGCCTTAGCCAAACAATTCTTGTCTTTGCTATTGTGCCAGTTGTCTTATGAAGACAGCTTTCACATTTATTTCTAGCAGGTACTTCAAGGTTATCACTAATCAAAAACAAATTTTATGTTAATATTTTCACAGCCCTTCCAGCTCAACATAATTGGTTTAAATTTGCATTTGAAACCCAAAAGTTTTGGGGTGAGTTTTAGATTTATCATGATGGATGTTCCTGCCTATTCAGCATCACCGTGAGGAATAAATTTCCTTGTCACCTCTGGGCCAATGAGAGAAAGGTTTCTTCCCCTTTCATTCCATGTGAATATAGTCCTTTATAAGTTTTCTATGGAAATCTTGGTTCTAGTGTTTCATCTCCCTCAGGCTCCAAACCTTGACTCTGGTCCCCAAGTACATGTTAATACTCAAGCACTAGCTATTACTACTTCCCTTTATCTCCACAAGACAGCTGTAATATAAGCTGTTATGTCTATTACTATGAGATTTAGTTCTCTCTGCTCTGGGAACTGGGGAATTTTGTTCTTCTCAAGAGCGTATCATTACATAAAAATAAACAACCAAAACATCAAAAAGTGTTGCTTACCATTTTTACCATGTTTGTGAAGAAAACTTCTATAACAGTCTAGGTATCAATTTTTTTAATAATCCTCTTGCAGATAAAGTAGAAACTGATAAACTATATTTTAAGAAACTCTCTCAAATAATGGTGCCTAAGCTTGGTTTCTCATATGTTCTTCATATGTGCATCTGTGAGGCCAATAAGAATTTTTTGTTTGTTGTTTGTACTTATAATGGGGCTTGAACTCAGGACCTTGTACTCTCATGGCTGGTGCTCTACCACTTGAGCCATGCCTCCACTACCAGCTTTTTGCTGGTTAATTGGAACTGAGTCTCTTGGGTTGTTCAGCCAGACTGGATCCTAACCTTGATCCTTAGGTCTCAGCTTCCTGAGTAGCTAGGACTACAGGCATGAGCCACTGGCACCAGTTAGTATTTTTAACAAGACAGTAGAGAACCACATATTTTAACAGGCATACATCTATAAAAAACACAAAACTTGGTAGAAATTAGTGTATAAATGATAACTGTAGTAGAAAAATATCTTGATAAGCTGAGATGATGAACTAAATATGATAATGAACAGCACGTAAAGTCTAGGAACTAAAACCAAAAATAAAAACAAAAACAACTTCAAAGCTGGTCATGGTCACACATACCTCTAATGTTAGCACTTAGGAAGCTAAGGCAGGAGGACCATGAATTTGAGACCAGCTTGGACTGCATCCATGAGACTCTGTCTCAAAAAACCAAAAATAAGCCGGGTGCTGGTGGCTCACGCCTGTAATCCTAGCTACTCAGGAGGCTGAGATCTGAGGATCACGGTTCAAAGCCAGCCCGGGCAGGAGAGACCATGAGACTCCTATCTCCAATAAACCACCAGAAAACCGGAAGTGGCGCTGTAGCTCAAGTGGTAGAGCGCTCGCCTTGAGCTGAAGAGCTGAAGGACAGCGCCCAGGCCCAGAGTTCAAGCCCCATGACCGACAAAACAACAACAACAACCAAAAATAAAAAAAGAAACAAACAGAAAACACACACACACAACCAAAAACAAAAAAACCCTCCACATCAAAAAGCTGGATAACCAAAAAAAAAAAATCAATCAAAAATACAGAATACAGTCTAAAAATAATTCTGAAGAGGACTGTTGAGGTAATAAATGCCCTATATGAACTACAGTATAAAATGGCTGCCAGAAAGTTCATCTTTGTTCTATGACAAGACTGAGACACTCTTATCTCCAATTAACCAGTAAAAAGTCAGAAGTAGAGCTGTGGCCAAGTGGTAGAGCATCAGCCTTGAGTGAAAAGCTAAGGGAGAACAACAGGCCCAGTTCTGGCAAAAAAAAGGGAAGGAAGAAAAAGAACAGTGTGCAGGAGAGGGAAGAACTTTGATTTTGTTCTTAATCAGATTACACACACATAAATTAGTTATCTACTGCTGTGTATAATAACTTACCTAAAAGTTGGTGGATCAAAACCATTACCATTTGTTATCTAGTTTCTGTGGCTTAGAAATCTTGGTGCATTTTGTCTGAATGCCTCTACCCTAAGGTTTCTCACAGGATGGAATCAAGGTGTGGGATGTAGATGAGGTCTCATCTGAAAGCTTAACAGATGCAAGGTCTGTTTCAGAGCCCTTTCACATAATACTTCTGGGCTGAACTGGGAGAATTAGGACATCAATGGATGTGAACAAGGCATCATTCAGTTCCTCAGCACACAGGCCTCTCCACTGGACTCCACAGGATAGCAGGTTTCCATCAGACACACAAACAAGAAAGAAGAGAGGGCCAGTCTTGGTGTCTCCAAACCTAATCTTGGAAGGGACCATCATGACTAGCTAGATATTATAGGTTCGGCTCATATTCAAGGGGAGGAGTGTGAATGACAGGAGACAGTGTGCATAGGAACCATTTTAAAGGTACCTGTCAAACTAGGCATACTTTAGATGGATCTAGTAGCACAGTGATATCCCAAATTTGTGGCCAAGACAATTAAAACTCAGGTTTAAAGAACAAAAGCTCAGGTTGTAAAAAGCAAGAGCTGAAATATAAAATACTTAAATGTTTAATTTAAAGAGTTTTTTTTAAAAACCAACAAATCAAAAGGAGAACAAGAGAGACTGCTGTATTCAGTTATAGTCATTCCAATAGGCAAAGGCCAACAAAGGAACTTTCTAATATAGCACACAACAGTTTAATGAACCTATTATCTAGGCATATTTTACATTGGTCTATAGATTGCTTATAAACAAACATTCTACTTCTTGTTCACTACTCCAATCCTGAGTTACTATAACAAATAGGTTCGGGGCTGGGAAGGTGGCTCAGTGGTAGAGCGCATGCCTTGCATGCCAGAGGCCCTGGGTTCGAGCTGAAGAGCTGAGGGACAGCTCCCAAGTCCAGAGTTCAGGCCCCATGACCGGACCCAAAAACAAACAAACAAACAAACAAAACAAACAAACAAGTAGGTTCTCAATAAATGTTTGATGTAAAAAAGTAGAAAAATTATTATTAAGAATTATATTATGGTTGATAAGAAATGTACTCATTATCTTGTCCATGTAATTGTAACCCCTCTGTACAGTTTTTTCACAATAAAATTTTTTAAAAAAAGAATTATATTATGGGAAAATGAATTCTAGTTTCAAATTGTCAAATAAAGATCTTAATGCTTAGATCTTTCCCAAATCAGACTGTGAAAAATCATCAATAGATAGTTTGAAGACTGTGTAATTTAAAACTTCCTCCAACTCCCTACCTTGATAGTTTTTCACAGAAGTCATCTTGTTATAATCTTCTGACAAAATAAACTCCTGCAAAAGAAAAGAAAAATCTTAAGCAAAAAGAAACCCTTTAAGTTAGAAATTATATTTTGGTAAAACAAGATTTTATAAAGCCAATAATCATAGAATTACATCAATATTAGTGCTTTGCCAATCAACTCAGTATTTGTGTACCTATCTAAAAGAAACTATAATTACAATTCAATGCAAGTATCACAGTCTTTACCATGTAACTCTTCAATTGACTTTAAAATATATGTATGAGAAAAAAAAACTGCATCAAGTTCAGCATCTTGCAATTTGAAAAATAAACTAGATTCAAAATACTTTTCTCGGGCTGGGAAGATGGCTCAGTGGTAGAGCGCTTGCCTTGCATGCATGAGGCCCTGGGTTCGATTCCCCAGCACCACATAAGCAAAAAGAAAAAAGCCGGAAGTGGCGCTGTGGCTCAAGTGGTAGAGCACTAGCCTTGAGCTGAAGAGCTGAGGGACAGCGTCCAGGCCCAGAGTTCAGGCCCCACGACCGGACCCAAAAACAAAACAACAACAAAAATACTTTTCTCTCTGTGGTGTCACAGTTGAAAATTTGCCAATGAGCAAATAGATCACAATTTTCTACTAGAGAAATAGGTATATGAGAGTCTGTACTAAATGGACAATCTCAAGGCTGTTTCTTGCTCATTCCTTGTAGCTAGGTATGTTGCACAGTGCCTTGGCACAGTAAGTAATCCATAAATACCGGTCAATTATATGGAAGGCACCTCCCAACTTGAGATCAGTTTGGATATCAACTGCATTTTTCATATATAGCAGACTGTGTATACTCCCTGTAGGAACACATAAAAGGTGAGTGTGTGGGTTTCATCTAAGCACCTATGTAGAAACATTGCACAGGTACAAGACAAGTGTTGGGCTAGCCAAGTTTTGAGTCCTTCAGCTTCTTTCAGATGCAAAACATCCACATATTCTTTAAAAAGAAGTTGTCAAACACAAAGAAAGCTACAAAGTGTACTGAAGTAATGCTTTTATCTGAGATTAAAAACAGAACAATGAATCTTTTCACAACATTTGGAAGCATCTTGAATTTTTCTCTGAGGATTTAAAAATGAGGAGGGATGGGAAGACATACATAAACTCCTTTCTTGCAATCAGGTATTTACTGAGTTCATAAAATTTATGTAATCTTGAGAAGAAAATAATTACTGTGAAGTGAAGGTGATGTGAAAGAATATACTGGGCAGACACATTGCTTTGTCTCTCTCTCTCTCTCTCTCTCTCTCTCTCTTCCCTCCCACCCCAGTCCTGGGACTTGAACTCTGGGCCTGTGCACTGTCCTTGGGCTCCTTTTGCTCCAGGCTAGCCCTCTACCACTCAAGGCACAGCTCCACTTCAGGTTTTTTCTGTGATTAACTTGAGATAAGAGTCTCCCAGACTTTCCTGCCTGGAAATTGCTTTGAACTACGATCCTTAGATCTCAGCCTCCTGAATAGATAGGATTACAGGTATGAGCCACTGGCACCTGGCTAGCTCTCTACTTTTTAATTCCACACCCCATTAAGAACATTATCTACAAATATGATTTGCTACACAATGATTTTCTCCCTTATAACATTTTTCTATGTAACACTTTTTAAATTCGTAGTATTATTCCTTCAAAGAGTAGCACTGTATCTATCCATTTCTCAATTCTGAAGAATTAGACTCACAATTGGAGAGATCAGGCTTAAGTCTAAAAGAAATACAGTAGCTTGTCCCACAGGAACTAATTGATAGTCATTGATTATAAGGAAACCTTAGTTTCCTAAATTTTCACTTAGGCCCACTTACTGCCCAGCTTGAATCCCAAGGAGGAAGACATGGCCCTGTGCTCCACACTTCAGAGGACTTCAAATGTCTTACACACATACAAAATTAAATGTAGTGAAGACAACTGTTATTTGGCCAAGTGTTCACTCAGTGTTCATTTATTTCATGTTATTTTAAACACAGAAATCGTTCTGTGGCTTTGGTAAAAAAAAAAAAGTCACCTCAGTTGCTTTTGGAATAAGACAAAGTATAAAATAATTCAACATAGGTTCAAGACATACACAGATTTAAGACCCATACACACAGAAGAAAAAAATTACCAGTGTATTACACTAGTAAATCTAATTTTTCATTTGTTTTCTGTAATAAAAACATATAACCATGATGAAAATTTGGGAGAATATGTCACTTTTCATTATTAGTTTTTAATCATAGAAGCCATGTTATTCTTCTGGGTGTACTGGGACACATCTGTAATCCCAGCTTCTCTGAAGCAAAGGCAGAAGCTTGAGCCTAGCAAGGGCAAAGTTAGCAAGAGCCTGTCTCAAAACAAAATAAAGGGGTTAGGGTACAAAACAGGATGGAGGGGGAGAAATGTCATAGCAGTAGAAGAAGGAATAATGAGGCTGAATAGTAGAAGTAGTTTGTTGCCATAAATAAAAACAGAACAATGTAATATGTTGAAGTACTTAACAGGGGCTTGGTGGGGGAGGGAGAGTATAGATAGGATGAGACTGATGAAATACATTCATAAAATTTATACATGTGTGGAATATCACAATGTAATGCATCCTTGGATACTTAATGTATGGTTTTTTTTTAAAGGCTATAGTATAGCTCAAGTGGCAGAGCCATTACCTAACTTATGCAAGGCCAAGAGTTAATCACCAGTACCCCCCTCCACATACACAACAGATATACACAACATCATATGCTATTCTAAGAGATTTACAAAGCATAAACATTTAAAGGTCCATTATGTTACATTTCCCAAGAGAAATAAAATGAAATGTATCAGGGTAATAACGCGTATTAAAACAAAATCTTAAGACTATTTGGTGATGCTGCTTTAACAAATCATATAGGTCATTCCAGGAGTATATAATTACTAATATCAATGTTTTTGGTGAATGAATAGAATTCATAATATTCTTTGACTAAATAGTGTTTGTATTATTTCCAGTTTTTTCAATAAATATTAATATATATCTCAAGCAGCAGAACTATAAAAGTTCTATGAATAGAACTACTGGCCATTTAATATGTGATAGATATTGCCAAATTTGAGTTTTCAAAAGATTTAATCTATTACCATTCAAATAATATGTTAAAGTGTGGCTAAAACTTACTTCCTTAAGATTGATCAAAGAAATCAGAACAAAGATACAGACATTTTAAGTTATGTTTGGATATAATTTCTCTTTCTATCTTTTATTCTGTCCTTCCATTCAACTGTCCAGCTATCACCTAGTTAATTCTAATTCTCAGTGTAATAAATCTCACACTACAGAGTATGCAATGGAAAAGTTAGTAACTGTCCCTTTTGAACAACCAGAGTTATCAGTCTGATGTAGCATTCCACATTTAGAAATTCTTACTCTAAGCCAGGCGCCGGTGGCTCAATCCTAGCTACTCAGGAGGCTGAGATCTGAGGATCACAGTTCAAAGCCAGCCCGGGGAAGGAAAGTCTGTGAGACTCTTATCTCCAATAAACCACTAGAAAACCGGAAGTGGTGCTGTGGCTCAAGCGGTAGAGCGCTCACCTTGAGCTGAAGAGCACAGGGACAGCGCCCAGGCCCAGAGTTCAAGCCCCATGACTGACCAAAAAAAAAAAAAAAGAAATTCTTACTCTAATATACATATACACAAGATCTGTTTTGTCTAAAGTTACTATCACAGTAAAAACAGTATCATACTATAGATCTTACTCTGTAATTTGCTATTTTACTGCAAATATACCAGTATTATCTTTCCAGTAAGCACAAAATTATAACATTCTTTTTCTATTAATACTCCATAAAATGAATATACCTACTTTATGCAAGTGTTTCCCCTTTAAATGTACTTGTCTTCTATTTTCTTTTTACTATTACAACAAAGTCTAATGCTGGATTTAGAGGAAGATGCAATATCATCAGTGTAACTGAGGGAAAGCAAGGCAGAGGAAGCAGACAAAGATGAACAGGCACTCCTACCAAGCTGGCCAAGCTTCCCATAGAAGTCCAGCTGCGGCTCCAGTGCACAGAAGTCTCTGGGCATACAGAACTGAACATAAGGTTTAGAAAGAATCCCTTGGAAGAAGGGGTGAGGAGAGAATTTGCCAGCTAGTTTTCTCCCTCCTCCCTTTGAATTTTGGTGATAGCTCTATTGGACTTCAGCTTATTTCTCGTGAAAAGTAGTACTACCTAGCCCTGTTTGCAGTCACTGTGATGTCAGATCTTTGGCCCAGCTGCACTGGCCTCCCACAATAGATTAAGTAGAAGAGGAAACCAGAAATTCTGAGCTTTGGCCTCAAAGTGGAACAAGGAGCCCAGAGGGTCCAAGGGGTCGGGGTGGGGAAACACAGGCAGGGGGATTGAAAATGAAAAACCCTAGCCCCAAAATAACTGAAACAAAACAGAACTGGCAGTATGGCTCAAGTGATGAAGTGCCTGCTTAACAAGTTTAAGGCCTTGAATTAAAATCCCAGTATGGAGAGAAGCTATGCATTAACAATATTTGCTATTATTATTTTCTTTGCGTAGTTTTCTAGAAATGAAATTAATGTCAAGGTACTGGATAAATATTACCAACATAGTTTTCTAAATAATTAGTGCCAATTTATGTCTACAGTAAAAAAAAAAAATTGGGACTATTTTCTTCAATTCTAACTAATATGTATATTCTAAGATTACTATTACTTAGAGAAAAATGTAGCTATAAATATTTCTAATGCTTCAAAATATTTATTAGCCCTTAGGTACTACTTGTTTGAGAGCTTTCACTGCTGTCAGATTATAGTGTTTCTTATAGATTGAGGACATCATCCTTTTACCTTTTCCAAACAACCTCTGTTGCTTTATCTTATTTATTTTATTTTATTTATAAATAGCTTTTCTCAAACTTTAGAAACTTTGGATCTTACATAGTGAAATATAACAATATAACAATATTCCTTTGTAATTTCCACTGTTTCAAGCCTACAATTTTCTTTAAGAATTTGTAGAAGTATTCTCTCTATTTAGT